TGTTATTATGTTTGTCTCACATGTTATTTATCAGTAACTTGTCGTATTTAACAATTTTGCCTATCAAAAAAAATTATTAAGAAATAATACTTATCTTTTACGTTTCGGAGGTCACATTCTGCCTCCGTCTTCAGAAATTGATAAAAAATTCGAAAACGCTTTTCGTTTCTTCTGCACGTTTCCTATTTCCGCAGTGAAATGGGTGTTGTTGGGAATTTGTGTTCTTGTTGTGGTTGTATACTGAGTATTTAGTCTTTGTGAAGTGGTCGGTTGAGACATGAATATACGTGGTGTATAATTTCTCCTCGGTTGGCCACTGTGAAGAGGTGGAAAATCTTGATCTGAATTTATATCTGAAATCTGACGAGTATTGTTTGTTTTTAATGTGGGAGCGTACGTATTGCGACTGATAGTTTTTGCTTCGAAAAGAGTAGTATTTTCTTCGGCCATTTTTTAGTTGATTTCCTCTTGTTTTTTAAACATTAGACAGATCCTGGATATAGATTTATGACCATTCGTCTTACAATATATGCAACAGTTGTCTTACGGATCCCGGCAAAGATGTGTCTTATCTTCTTCCTTTCCGCAGTTTATACATAATGTGATGGTGCTTCGGCATTGTTTAGAGACATGTCCGTATTTCAAACAATTGAAACATTGTGTGACTTTATGTACGTACGGTTCAACATTGCATGAGACGGATCTGCTAGTTATGAGCAGAGTGGTAAGTAATTGGAAGCAGTTCGTGAACTTGGAATTGTTAGTACTGTTAGAGGCTTTCTCATCTACACCGACGAAGATATCAAACACTTGGCCACCTCCGTTTGGACTTTTCCCAACAATACAGGCGTCATCAACACAACTCATCTAACATTCAACATGCTTATACCCATCAAGCATTTTTTGAATATTTTCAACGATTATCAGTATGTTTCCTACGGTAAAGATATCATTTGATTAGTACGATTATTTTCGTTTTTATCACCCCAAAATTAGTAGAAATTGGCTAATTTAGTGTAGGAAACATTCAAAAAATATTTTTTTGTTGTGTTGTGATATTTTACAGATACATGCACAGCATAAAGCACACCATACACCATAAATGGTTATTCATGTATCACTTATTTGCACACAGCAAATAAGTGATACTGTCAGTTTGTTCACTATGCGATTCAACGCTTCACCACATCTGGCATCGTAATAAAACAAAAAAAACTGAACTGAACTGAAGATTTTGCTTCAGTATCAATCGAAGAGGCAACATGAGAATAGCTGTTGTAGATATTCAAGGCTTCACCGTCGAGCAATAATTCCATCCTAAAGAAATAGCCATTAGGATTGGAATTCAGGGTAGTTACTTTTTACTGCTGCCAAACACACCATTTTCCAGTTTGAGTAAAAAAGATCGTCGTACCGCCTGTTACTTGGAGCGAAACATTCACGGATTGAGGTATTCCTCTGGCTTTGTGGAATATAATCAATTGGATGCCATCCCCATGGAAAATCTGCATGGAGTCGATGTCATTTATGTGCGGGAACATCAAAAACATGACTTTCTAACTGAAAAATTCCACGAGTTGAATATACCTATACGCGTTGTGAATTTGGAGGGCTATGACAATACAACATGGATGGTTCCCATATTCGACAACAACGAAGGTGTTTCACCCTGTATGCATCACATTCGCAGCCGAACCAACTACAATTTCAGTCTCCGTAACATAGATATTTTATACAAATGATATATTACCAAAATAAAAATGTATAATGCATTTCTATTCAAAATCATATTGTCTTTTTTATCTAACCTCACCGCCTTATGATAATATACCCCTAACAAAAATAGAAAACGTATGCAAAACGATCGAAAACGCACGCAAAACGGTTGAAAACCCACGAAAAACGGTCGAAAACGCATGAAAAACAGTCGAAACTTATGCAAAACAACGTATTTCGAAATTTCCATTGTCGAATACTTCGCTCCCCCACTCCCCTGACGTTGAGTCACGTTGAGTGCACGTTGAGTCATCTCCTCTTTCTCCTGATGATGCTAACTTGGTTAACAAAGATACGAGACTAAGTGTCCTTCTGACATGTTGGAACGCTAGACATGTTTTTTCTGAAATGATTATATATTGAGACATCCCCTACACAGTCGTATTCCTAACCCTTCATGCTTAATTTTGAAACCGGCAATACTACATTGCCTAATAAACAATGATCTATTTTAGAACCGGCAACACCGAAATCGCACTAGCAACCGGTAAAACCTCGATATCATCTCCATCTCTCTTTGCATCGATTACGTCACACGCGTCTCTCACTCTTACACACACATACACATCTTTATATGCAATAATAATTCTTTCCCAAATCTAAGTATATTTTCCTATCTTCAACATGATAATGACAATTACAACTTCCCTAACATTCTACAGAAATCAAAAAAATGCGGTCAAATATATAAAATGAGTCAATTTCGGTCCCGACAAAACTTACGCTATAAATCTCCATCATTCGTGCAGTTACTTCCAATATCTTACGTTGGTGTAGAGGCTAAGGACAATGTCTACCACGCGGACCAACATGGTTCGATTCTCGTAACTATAAACTGTTTTAATGAGGATCACGTGACAAGGGGGCCTGAGGGGCGGAGTACTAAGGGGGCCGATAGGTGAGGCAGAGTACTAAGGGGGCCGAGTTCCACTTTTGAATTACTACGATACTCATTCCATCCTGCGTCGATGACGTCACACGTTTCCCCCACTCCTGTTTGTACCAAAAATTGCAAAAAGTTTAGTTCCATAAGAAAACACATGCGATTTTGCGCTCGTATCGGCCTTGTTCATCTACTAGGGTTTCTCAAGTTGCAGAAATGCAGAAATTATTATCTGCCACCCCTCAACGATTTTTATTTGCCCAGTGGTATTTTTTCCTTTTTTTGATATTACAGTTAATTTGAAAAATATTTACATTTCTTTCAGAAAATCAATTTGTTTCAATGTTCTGAAATAAGTATTCATCGCTGTAGCTACCGAATGACTGAAAACTTAACTGGCTGATTTAACCTTCATTCTTTGAAAGTTAGTTGGAAATGAATGAGAATCAGTAAGGTTGGGTGCTAGTCTACTGATTCAGCCC